GTTTTACTCAGCCGATGCCCTTCCAGCTGCAACCCATCACTGGGAAACATACACTCTCATTCACACACATACACTACGGACAATGTTAGCTTACCCAATTCACCAGTACCGCATGTCTTTGGACTTGTGGGGGAAACCAGAGCACCTAACCCACGCGGATGCGGGGAGAACAGGTAAACACCACACAGAAATTACAACTGACCCATGCGAGGCTCAAACCAGCGACCTTGTTGCTGTGAGGCGACAGGACTATCTACTGCACCACCGCATCGCCATAAATATACACACACAGTTGAAGTCAGAATTAATAAACCCCCTTTAAACACTTTTCTTTTTTAAATATTTACCAAATGCAGTTTAAGAGAGCAAGGACATTTTCACAGTGTGTCTAAAATGTTTTTTCTTCTGGAGAAAGACTTTTTTGTTTTATTTCGGCAGGAATAAAAGCAGTTTTTTTAAACACCATTTTAAGGACAAAACTATTATCCCCTTTAATCCATAATTTCGATAGTTTACAGAGCAAACCATCGTTATAAAATAACTTGCCTAATTACCCTAACCTGCCTAGTTAACCTAGTCAAATATTATTTACTGTCATCATGGCAAAGATAAAATAAATCAGTTATTAGAAATTAGTTTTTAAAACTATTATGTTTAGAAATGTGATGAAAAAAATCTTCTCTTCATTAAACGGAAATTGGAGACAAAAAATAAACAAGGGGCGAATAATTCTGACTTTAACTATATTTGTGTGTGTGAGGGGGGGTGTATATTTATTTATATATATGTCGGCTATATCAAACAAATCTAGTGAAGTTTTTTATTTTATTAAATTGACATGATTAATAATTGATTTTTAATAATAGGTGAATTTTCCCGTATGATCCTCCTGATGCATGCAGAGTTGCTGTCTCGTGCATTCCGCGTGAATACAAGTGATTCGTGCTCTGTCACCACGAGTTGCTTCAGTCATATTGTGAAGTGAAAATGTGCAATGGATTGGTCTAAAAGAAGGAAGATCATGTCCCGCCCTGCAGAGTTTATTACAAAAAAAAAAAAAAACATTTGTTTTCATTGTGACAATTTTAAATCCCTGCCATTAGATTTGGTTAAAGTTGATTTATTGTTCCAGATTAACATTTATTTCACAAAACAAAACTCTTTACAAAAGTCAGTGGTCAGTTTTTGTGCTACCACATTTGTGGTGTGTTTTTTGTTTTGTGGTAAAAAAATGGTTTAGCTTACTAATTTCTGCACGGGTCAGCCTGACTCACATGCGGCAGGCAGTAAAATCTTTCCGCAGAATTTTGCTCCAGTGTGAAGGAAACCCCCGTATATCCCACAGGGTTGGTGGTGTAGGCCACCACCTCTTTGAGGTCCCGTTGAAGGAAAAAAAAATCTCAAAGCATATAAGGCTAAAACTTGCTTTAATAAATATTTTAACGGTAACACTTTATTTTGATTGTCCATTTGAGCATTAGTAGACTGTCTGCTTAATATCTGTTAATACTGCTCGACAGATATTTGACTCACTGTAAGAAACTTTTCAAGTACATGTAAACAAATAAATAAATAAAAAAGGTCCATAAATCCCTGCATAAATAAAACAATAAATAATAAATAAACAAATACGCAAATATATATATATATATATATATATATATATATATATATATATATATATATATAAAACATTAAAAAATCTATAAATCCCTGCATAAACTCATTCATTCGTTTTCTTTTCAGCTTAGTCGGTTTATTAATCTGGGGTCGCCACAGCAGAATGAACCGTCAACTTATCCAGCATGTTTTTACACAGCGGAAGCCCTTCTAGCCGCAACCCATCACTCTGCAACATCCATACACTCTCATTCCCACTCATACACTACAGACAATTCCTCTATAGCGCATTTCTTTGGACTGTGGGGGAAACTGGAAAACCCAGAGGAAACCCACGCAACCGCAGGGAGAACATGCAAACTCCACACAGAAACACCAACTGACCCGGCCAAGGCTCGAACCAGCGATCTTCTTACTGTGAGGCGACAGCACTACCTACTACCTAAGAAGTTTATAAAATTGCGTAAATAAAACAATAAATAAATACACAAATATATATATATATATATAGGTGCCGTGGCTGGGTCAGTTATTGTTTCTGTGTGGAGTTTGCATGTTCTCCCTGCGTTTGCGTGGGTTTCCTCTGGGTATTCCAGTTTCCCCCACAGTCCAAAGACATGCACTATAGAGGAATTGGATTGGCTAAACTGCCCGTAGTGTGTGAGTGTGTATGAATTTTTTCCAGAGATGGGCTGCAGCTGGAAGGGCAACATGTGCTGGATAAGTTGGCAGTTCATTCCGCTGTGGCGAACCCAGATTAATAAAGGGACTAAGCCAAAAAGAAAATGAATGAATGAACGAATGAATGAATGAATAAATGAATGAATGAATAAATATATAAATACACAAATTCCTGCACAAATCAATACGTAATTAATTAATAGTGTGGGCTAATAAATAAAAAAATAAATTACACGAGAGTTGGGGGAATGAAGAAATTCTAAGCAGAAAGTTAATATAAATTCAGAAATTCCTCCATAAATAAAATAATACATAAATGTGCAAATGTATAAATAAATGAATAAATAAATCCATAAATTTCTGCATAAATAAAATTATAAATATGCAAATCTATAAATAAATGAGTAAATAAATCAATAAATTCCTGCATGAATAAAACAATAACTAAATAAATATGCAAATAAATAAATCAATGTTTAACAAAAATCAACAAATTCGTGCATAAATATGTAACTAATTAATAGTGAGGGCAGGTAAATAATTAAATAAATTAAAGAGGGGGTCTGTGTCAATCATCAAAAGGCGATCTTTATTATATCTTTATAATATTTTTATTATATCTTCTGATGATTCAAATACATTTAAGAATAAATAAACGTTTTTTTTATTATTTATGCAGGAATTTATAAATTTATTTACTCATTTATATATTTATTAATTTATTTATTTATTGTTTTATTTATGCAGGAATTAATGGATTTATTTAGTCATTTATTTATTTATTTATTGTTTTATTCATGCAAGAATTAATAGATTTATTTACTCATTTTTATATATATTTATTTATTTATTATTTTATTTATGCAGGAATTTACGAATTTATTTACTTATTTGGGTATTTATTTATTTATAGTTTTGCAAGTCTCGTCCTCTATAATTCCACACAATGTGGCTTGTAGAAATACAAAATATCTTAAAGGATATACAATTAATTGTGTTTTTATTTGCATTGTCAATAGAAAATGTTAGAAAAAAATCGATTACTAATCGACCAGACAACCTTTGCTCATTTCGAGTAGGGGGAGGCTGCAGACTTGGATCTAGACAGATCTACGGCCCAAGCAGTTTTACGGCCTAGGCAGTTTTACGCCCCTGTTGTTCCTGTTGTGTCCAGTAGAGGGAGGCAGTACAGTATTATTTTAAGCCTCCAGAACTTTATCACACCCAACCAAACGCGACATGTTAAATACGTGTTTAAAACATTAGCAAACATGAAACTTAAACCTTGTTTTATTAGATTAAGGTCGACATGAGTGTATGTCAACACAAACAAATTGGTGTAGTATAACAGCAATTGAGTTTGACTCAATTTTAGCAGCAATTGAGTTTGACTCAATTTTAGTTAACTATGTGCAGGCCAGCTACATGTTATACATCAACAAAAGAGTAAAAGAACATTAACCTACATAAGAAAGTGTGTTATGTAGGCTAATTTTCTTGTACCTTTTTGTCTCAGCAAGGGAGTAATTATTTTATATTTTATAATTATTTAAAGATATATATTTTCTCATAGATTAGACAATACACTTGCATGGTCTGGGTTGTCAGCCAAATCTACACTTCAACTACACTACATTATTCCTCCAAATTTGACTTTCTTAAATATTGAAATAAATCTAAACAGATCTGAAAATTTAATTGATTTTATTTTAAATTGCATTGCTTTCAATTACAATCAATATAATACAATCCTGTTCTAGTTTAAACAATTAAACTATCATATATCCATAAATGCATATAGAAACTCACAATTATAAATGGTCTGCTCATTTTTGTTCATATAGCTATACAGTACATTTTATATATTACCAATGAAGTTTGCATTGCACATGCAATCATATTGTTTATCCCTTATTTTTTCATAATATTTATTGTAACAATACCTCTGCATTCTTATCAAAGCATATCATTACTCCATATTACACTGTATTGTTTGGTTATCATTTTGTTATTTTCAAAATGCAGTTATATATAAACAATGCAACAAATGCATATCTCTATATGAAAACGTATAGCTAGGCTACAATTAACCATTACAGTATCCAACAACTTGTGTTTTTAAGTTTTTTAATTAAATGAATCTAAATTAATTTGCAATAGAGCTTTTGCAAATCTGGAATTATTTGGTGAGTGTATCAATTCTGCATATTTTATAGTGAGTTTATAACTCACTTTATGGTACATTAATCTAGCGTTCATATTTAGTGTAATCTAATTGAAATTATATATATTTATTAACAGGACATTTAATAATCTGAGAGCCTTGACTTCAAATGTATTATGTGATCATGTATCTTTCATCCCCCCCCCCCCCCTACTGAACGCATTAGGAACAACAGGGGCGTAAAGCTGTGGGGTGTAAAACTGCCTTGGTCGTAAAACTGCCTGGATCCAAGTCTGCAGACGCCCCATATAGAGCTCATTTCTCCAGTCAGAGCTGTTTCGTCGCCGTTGGCCGCACGGGGGCGCCGCGACCTCCGTGAATAAACTTCCTAACAATCCAGCAAGCGCGTACTCGCTGTTTGGGAAACAACCATAAATTGAGTTTTCGTTTGGAAAGGTTGAGAGGAGGGGGTCAACGCCTGTACCCATTTATAGACAAAAAGAGCAGTGAGAGAGAAAACGCTGAGAGAACTTGACAAATCTTCTTCAGTTTAAGTACAACCTGGAGCGCAGGAACTTTATAACTCTGAATTACTGCAGCGCTGACGGGCTGGAAAGAAGACCAACACTGAGGAAAACCAGGCACATGCCATTGCTATAAATAACTGCCCATAAGACAGTGGTAAGTGTGTTTTCCCTGCGTTTTCAAGATTTATGGAAACTAGAGAGCTGACAATGCAATGCTCGGGTTTTTGCTGTTTAGCAGTAAATACAACTGCCAATTCTTACAGGTTAAAATTCCCGAGAGCATTTACTGCGTGGTATATAATCTGTATATGACAAAGTCAACCACTATAGACTTTGCATTTTAAGTGTTAGCACTTAATTTGCACGATTGAATGTGTTTTAATTGGATTTTGTTTGGGATTTTGTTTGTTCAGAGTATTCTCATTTCCCTGCACTGTATATAAAAAATACACAATTTAATGCATCATGTCACATTTCCTAGTATTTAATAGATATTACCCTTGCAGCTGACACTACTCAGTGGTCTCGTGCGCGCGCGCGATGTGTTTTTTCCTTTAGGAAACTGAAGCGCGCACGCAGCACTTCCAGTGAGCTGCTGAACACGCGGTAGCAGCTGTAGTCAGTGTGAAGGAAACAGCTGTGTGTGTGGGTGTGTGGGTTTAGCTATACAAGTAAGGGCTCAAATAACCTCACTTATATCAAGAAAACCAATAAGTGAGAACATCCTACTTTTCTTACTAGTTCAGAACTCATGTTTTGCCGAATGTACTTGGTTTGTCCAAATTAAAGATTTCAAGTCAAGAGCCCAGATTGTCACTACTGGTGTCCCACAAGTTTCTGTACTGGGTCCACTCCTGTTAATCATATATCTATTGCCTCTTGGTCACATTTTTAGAAAATACACCATACAATGTCACTGCTATGCTGACAACACTCAACCTGTCCACCAAGCCCTCCTGTTCTTTTCCTCCTTCTGCTTTGAGCAGATGTTTAGCTGAAATAAAAATCTGGCTTTCAGCTAACTTTTTAAAATTAAATACCGACAAAACTGAAGCCCTTTTCATTGGGACTAAAAGTGTTTTGGATAAAGCTGATAGTTTTACAAAAGACATTGATAATAGCACAATTCTTCCCTCTGTGCAAGTAAAGAGTTTGGGTGTCTCTTGGATAGAACACTCTCATTTAAAGGCCACATCAATAAAATTACGCATACTGTATATTTCCACCTGTGTAATATCACTCGTCTCTGTCCTACTGTCAAAACCAATGACACAGCAATTCTTATCCACGCATTAGTTACTTCACGTCTTGACTATGCATTTCTTTCTGAGCTTCCTTCTAAACTTCTTCATGAACTCCAACTGGTTCAGAACCATGTAGCTCGTGTCATCTCTAGCACTCCATCTCACGAGCATGTCACACCACTTCTTCATCAGCTTCACTGGCTTCCAGTAAAGTTTAAAAATATTACTTCTAACTTTCATGGCACTTCATAATCTTGCTCCTCAATATCTTATCAGACTTCACATTATTTATACCCCTTCGCACACCCTTGGATCAGCCAACTCTTTCTCCCTGGTACCACCTCGCACTTGATTGAGCACAATAGTCGAGTAGTAGAACCTGTCTCCCTTCTTTAGCTCTATGGCTACTCGACTAAGGAACTCACCTCCCCTGGATCTAAGGAGCAGTGATAGTCTTGACACATTTAAATCTCGTCTAAAGACCCATCTTTTTAAGCAGGCTTTCCTTTAACAATGTTTTTTGTCATGTTTTGCTATCAGGTTATTTTATATTCGCGATGTGTGTTTATACTTCTTTGGTCAATGCTTGTTTGGTAATGTTTTATTATTTGTTTAAATTTGTTCTAGCATGCCTGTTGATGCTTATTGTAAGATGACCTTGGGTGTCTAGAAACGCGCCATTTACAAATAAAATGAAATTATTATTATTTTTATTATTATTATTATCATTATTATTATTATTAAAATGCTTATACATAAGCCAGAGCATGTTTTATTTGTAACTAATAATAGGCATATGTTTTTTTGAGAGGGTTGAGGTTTGGGTTAAGGTTAGGCCAATAAAAATATCCTGAAACCGATATAAAATGAGTGGAATTGTTGGCAATGACCGCACTAAGACAACAGATACAAGATATAAACATGTAAGGAAGTCAGAAAGAGCAGAATTGCAAGAAATAAAGTCAAAATCACAAGATATGAACTTGGAATTGGGAATTGTAAAGTCAAAACTCTGCAATATAGACAGTGAATTGCAAGAAAAGGGGACAAATATCCGCTATATCAGATTTGTAGCATATTCAAAATAGTAAGAAAAGGGCAGAATTGCAATACATAAAGTCAGAACTGAGAAAATTCAGAGTTATTGTTCGTATTTTAGAGTGGTTGTGAGTATTCATCTTATCTTCAACTTAATTGCATTCACTCATGAGAAACTGCCAATTTTTGGGGGGGCAGGGAAATACAACATTTCCTGAGGGAATGTAAATATTTTCCAAACAAGTGTTAAGTTAGCGTATATAATCTTATATACGTACATCCAGGCCAGCTATTGAAAGGGCTGTGCAGATAAACCTCACTCCTCTGACCTCTAAAGGTGCTATAGTGACAGACACTAGAGGCTACAGTCTTTAGCCTCCTTGTTAGAACAACCAACTCCCATACAAAGAATCGCCAGTTCGATCCAAGCTGAGACCGGGTTGGGTGCAGTAGGACCGGTGGGTTAGATGTGGGGGCTCATCTGGGATAGGAACGAGGTTTAGGGGGGTGAGTGTAATGGAGGCCAGGTAGCGAAGGGTTGTGCTGGTAAACCTCACTTCTCTGACCTCTAAAGGTGCTCTAGTGACAGACGCTAGAGGCCACATTCTTTAGCCTCCTTGTTAGAGCAACCGACTCCCATACAAAGAATTGCCAGTTTGATCCCAGCTCAGACCAGGTTAGGTGCAGTAGGACTGGTAAATTAGATTTGGGGGCTCGTCCGGGATGGAAGTTAGCTTAATGCCTAGTTCAGACTGCGTGATTTTAGCCCCGATTTTGTCTCGCCGACAGGTTTTGAAAAATCGCCGACAAATGCCTGAAATCACAGGCAAATCGCTGCTCGTGCATGTGAGTGACAATCACACAGTATGAACTATCAAAGGCGCAATCTGAGAGAATCGCTGATGAGTCGCTGATGCCTGTGAGATATTTGGCATGCTAAATATCTGGAGCTGTCGGCGATTCAAATCATACCGTGTGAATTGAGTTTTGACTGAAAATAACATTGGCGATCGCCTACAGCCAATGAGAGAGCGGCATTCACTTGTGTGTACGTGTGTGTATACCTGCTGCAGGCTAGCGGGAGGCTGGGGGAGAAGTTAAAAGCGATCTTTTTCGGTTTATTTGGACCCACGAAATGGAGGAAAAACTAGTGCAGGTTTGACAGGACTCAGGAGCAACCGTGTCTGTTTGACGTTTCATACAGAAAGAAATTAGTTTATTATCAACGTTAAGGAGAAATGGCTAATTCCCTTTAAACCCAGGTGAGCAAATATGGACATTTTCTACCCCATTAAAGGCTTCTTTCTCATTATGTAGTTAATAACAAAAGACATACTACGTGTTTTTGGCTGTGAGACGTAGTTTGGACGAACTTGTCGGCGATTCTTCCTATAGTAAAGTCATGCAATGTGAAAGTCCTTGTCACAGATCAATTTTGCAGTGTAAACAAAGCAGCGACGAAACGCTAGCCCAGATAGTCATGCTGTGTGAAAACATCTGTGACACGATTACTTTGAAAATCATGCAGTCTGAACTCGGGATTAGGAGGATGAGTGTAATAGAGGCTAGGTAGTAAAGAGCTGTGCAGGTAAACCTCACTGCGTTTACACTACCAAGGGTACCTTTTTAGTGGGTGTGGTGTATGACAGAAAGTTTCAGTCAACGTCATTTTCGCTTAAGAAAATGTCTACAGTAAAGCTGTACGGGTCATTTACATATCATATGAGAAGCACTTCTAACAAAACAGAGGCTTTATACACAAATACTGGTGTATAAATGTTAATTACTAACTTATTTATAAACAGCATTTGATTATAACTGCAGACCAATGACAGTGCGAAATAGCCTACTGTAATGTCTGCAATTATATACACTAAATAAACAAATGCATCATATATGAACACATACAGACCCTTACAGTCTCCGATATGTAACCAATTAAAGAAAAACTACACACAGCAGACATTTAGTCCTTATTTGAGTTAAAAAACACAAAATATAGCCCACAGTCAGAGCAGACCTCTTATCTGTGTCTGTAATCTTCAGCAGCACTTGTATCCTCTGTTAGAGAGTAATTCTGTCATTCTGAGTTAATAATAGTCTAAAAGGTGATGATAATAGCTAAACAAGGCAGTTTGTTCAAGGCAGTTTGCTGAAAAATAATGTGCTCCTTTATTTTCAATAATCAAGCGCACGTTATTATCATCAGCTCAAGAAATTTGTTATTTCAGATATAGACGTGTGGCGAGCCAAGCAAGAAAGCGAAACCGCTCGCTCTTCAGACTCGCTTGTAAAAATGTAAGGGGCACAGGGTAAATCTGCTCTTCTTTTTGACTTTGTGGCTGTTCCTCAAGACGACGACAAGGTTTGTTTGAGCCCGGGTCAACAATGGCTTGTTATTAAATGTAAATATTATTACGGTGTAATCTCTCGGCTGTGTATTTTAAACATGGCAGTTTAACAGTGGAAACGCCCATAAAAGCGTACCAAACCGAACCGTACCGTACCACTCAGTGAAAAGAGCCATAAAGGTGCTCTAGTGACAGACGCTAGAGGCTACGGTTTTTAAACTCCTTGTTAAAACAACCGACTGCCTTACAAAGAATTGTCGGTTTGATCCCAGCTCAGACCATGTTGGGTGCAGTAGGACTGGTGGGTTACATGGGAAACCAATTAACATAAAAAAAGAAGGTTTCGAAGATAAGTTTGCATTAGAAAAAAATTATATTCAATATCAAGATCGCAAATTACAAAAACCAATACAAATAAGTCCTGTGTCTCATCAACACAGGAACTCTCACGGATACAGTTAGCCTCTCCAATAGATCCAGGGAGTTTATTGAGTGAGTGACCCCTCAAACTGATTTAATCT